GCTTCAAGTGAAGCACCACCACTGACGGGTTGAGAGGTTGGCTTTCCAACAGGCTTCCCCATTGGAAGGTTGGAGGATGGAACACAGAGCAGAGAGATGGAAGCTTCAAGTGAAGCACCACCACTGATGGGTTGAGAGGTTGGTTTTCCAACAGGCTTCCCCATTGGAAGGTTGGAGGACGGAACACGGAGCGGAGAGATGGAAGCTTCAAGTGAAGCACCACCATTGATGGGTTGAGAGATTGGCTTTCCAACAGGCTTCCCCATTGGAAGGTTGGTGGATGGAACACAGAGCGGAGAGATGGACACAGATGGGAGGCTTCAAGTGAAGCATCACCACTGATAGGTTGAGAGGTTGGCTTTCCAACAGGCTTCCCCATTGGAAGGTCAGCGGATGAAACACGGAGCGGAGAGATGGACGGAGATGGGAGGCTTCAAGTGAAGCACCACCATTGATGGGTTGAGAGATTGGCTTTCCAACAGGCTTCCTCAATGGAAGGTCAGCAGAGGGGAAGAAGGGGAGAATGTCTGACCTAGCTGTGGGGTGTTCCTCCGCCTTCTGTAGTTTTCCATTGGGGTTTCTTTCACGTGGCTTCAGGCTTGACACAACTTGGAGCTGAAGGGGGGTGGGGGAGTTGTAACTAAAACAAACTAATCCACTCCTGGGTCAAGGACATCCTAACTGCCAACTGGCTGGAGGTGGAAGAAGGAGTTGCCAGGCAACCAGCCAGTGCCCTGGATTGGACAACGTGACTTATTATTTTTTGGGAAAAGTGAAACTTTAATAAGGTAGAAAGTGGGGGAAATTTGGCTTTCCACCAGCTAGTGCCAAGGGGATGTCTCCAAAATTGAGAATCAGCCTCGGGAGTTCTGTTTGAAATGGGGTCATTGCTTGGGATCCTGACACCCAAAGGATGACATGGGAAGATTCCTAATCCCAACTAGGGGATTAACTGGAAGCTGGCAAGATGAGGAACTCTGCGGGAGGGTTCGGAAGGGAAGGGCCAGCTCCATCAGCCGCGCTCGACTTCTGTCTCAGCCTGCTACGACCCTTTACCCAGGGAGGAACGCCCAAACTCTCATCGCAACGTACTTTGGTGGATTTCTTGACTGAATCCGCCTTGCTGTCATTACTAGACGTGCTGGCCGCGCTGGGAGAGTTGCGGCCGCTGGATCGGATGTCCTCGTTGATGGGCGAGGCCCTCCCGTCTGGGCTGGTGGGTTGCTTTTTACGGCCACTGCGGAGCGTAGACATCTGCTGGTGAAAAGAGAAAGATAAGGTCAAAGGCTGCTTCCGGGAGGCCCGGCCTTGACAGGCAACTCTCCCTCGTTCTCTCCCAAAGCCATCTCGTGTTGGTCAAGCGATTGTTGGGTCTCCATCAAGGACAATTGAATCCAAACTTAGTGGGGTCCTGACCAGGTCCCTTTGGGAGAAGACAGGAATCGCCAACTCAGTTCCATGGTTTCCACCATGCTAGGTCCAGCCCCCAGGATGCACCTGGCGGACTTCTTCCATCCCTCAGCATTCAGGAAGGAAGCCACACTGCCACCCCAATGCTCCCTGGAGAACCTCAAAGTTCTCAAGTCCTTAGTAAAGCAGCGAAGTCCTAGGAAAGGATAATGTGCATTGGGACCATTCTCTTGCTTTGTCCACCCGTTCAACATCATGAAAAGAAGGACTGGGGGGGGGGGATATGATAGCAATATTCCAATATTTGAGGGGCTGCGACAAGGGGCTGAGACCCTCATCAACCTATTTTCCAAAACACCTGAAGGCAGGGCAAGAAGCAGTGGATGGAAACTAACCAAGGAGAGAACCAATCTAGAATCAAGAAGAAATTTTTTTGACCGTGAGAACAATTAACCGGTGGAACGACTTGCCTCCAGAAGCTGTGGGTGCTCCATCCCTGAAGGTTTTTCAGAAGAGATCGGACAACCGTTTGTCTGAAAGGGTATAGGTTTCCTGTTTGAGTAGGAGGTTGGACTAGGTCCCTTCCAATTCTATTATTCAATGTTCAAGGTCAGGGGTGTCAAACTCAAATTAATTTGAGGGCTGCAAGAGGGCTGCAGTTGACCTCGGGGTGGGGGGTGGGGGGGTTGGTTGGCTGATTGGGTGGGCGTGGCCGAGTGGGTGGGCGTGGCCAGACTGAACGCCACTTCCCAAACTGCTGGCATGTTTCCTCTTTGCATTCGGTAGCCACACTCCAAAGTCTGAATAGGCTTAGCAACCAGGTCAGCCAATGGGGGGCCGTTTGCTGATTCAGACAGCAAGGAGCCTGGGCGTGGCTTAGCTCTGAGTGCTGTGCTGAGAACTGAAACTGAAATCACACTCTGCCTGTGTTGGTACCTACTTACAATCTCTCCTCCCTACCATATTGGAAGAACCACTCTGGGTATTGTATAGATTACTTGATATGTTATTATCAGATTTTTCAGAGTATAAGACACTCCGGAGTATAAGATGCACCTTAGTTTTCAGGAAGGAAAATAAAGGAGAAGAAAAATTCTGTCTCTGCCTACCAGCATCCATGGTATTCAGCTGACACCTGGTAACAAGGTCAGCCAATGAATAGGAATGGCAACTAAGTCAGCCAATGAGGGCTATTTGGACTATTTGGAAATTTACTGTGTGAGCAACAAGGAGACAGGAAGGAGCCAGGCTGAGCTGAGAACTGAAAGTGAAACTTTGTGTTTTGCTTGTATTTACTGCTACCTTGGAAAACCTGCTTTTGGTAATGTATTGTATATTATTATTATTATTTTGAATCCTGCTGAATCGGTCACTCTGCTTTCTGAATGTGATTGCTGCTGAAAACTCTGACCAACCAGGTCAGCTTCAGCACTTATTGCAGCCTGATTCATCAGCACAGCTGATTGGCCGGTAGATCGGACTGCTGGAATACTCCCAATCGGCTGTTCCAGGCTGCAGGGATTGCCACAGACCATCGCTGCCTCCATGCCTTGTATTTTTGGCCTCTGGTGAGGGTGGGTGTATACATTTGGTGTATAAGATGCACCCAAATTTTCACCCTCTTTTTTGGGGGGAAAAGGTTCGTCTTATACTCTGAAAAATACGGTATGTATATAAAGAGAAGTTAATGAATCCTGCTGAATCAGTCACCTGGGTGTCCTTTCTGGATTTGATCACCGCAACAAACTCTGACAAAAGTGGACTTACCGAGCCACGGCTCCTTCTCGTCCTCATGCTATGCTTCCCACTGAGACCCTCATCTTCCTCTTTGACCGGCTTGAACATAAAGGGCGGGGGATCCACCGGCTTCTCGATGGGTGGGAGCTCGCCGTACTTCTTGAAGTGGATCCGACAGTCCGTGCAGAGAAGGATGTTTTCCCGCCCACCGTGGTGCCAGTCCTTGGAGGCTGTTAAAAAATTGGGGGGGGGGGGGAATTGATGCCATCAACCCCGGAGGAACGAATCGCAGATTTAAACGGGGAGTGTCAGCCCTGGAACCATTTCCCTCCCTCCTGGCACTTTCAGGGCTGCCGCACAGTGAAGGGGGGAGGAAGAGATAGCTGGGAGATTGTAGCCAAAATAAAATTCTTCCTTCTGAGAACCAGGAGTTCCTTCCACCAGGTGCAAGCAAGGAGGCGGGATCAGAGAGACCAAGCGGCCTTTGGACTGGGACTCGATTGGACCGTGTGACGGACTACATGAGGAGGGGAAATAAAATTCTACTTGTAACTAGGGGGGAAACCCGAGGGGGGGGAGGGTGTTAAGAGTCAGGTTTCCCCGGATGTGCCAATATGACAGGCCTAATAAATCTATTTCAGACTTCAAGGACCACTAATATGAACTGCCTAATGACTGGCGTGGTGGGCGTGGTTAGGTGACCATGTGACTGGGTGGGCGTGGCCAACCCGATATCACTCATGTCGAGGGGCGCCTTGCCAGCCTCTACTCGTCACTCCTCCCCTTCCCGCCCCAGGGTCCTTAGGGCCCCCACAGGAAGCAGTTGCTGGAGCTAAGAAGCCACCAGGAGAAAGAGTTGGCAAAACAGCTCCGTTCAAATTGGATCTGGCTGAGAAGGAGGCTCAGCAGAAGAACCTCACCGAGGACTAGGAGCATAGGCTTTCCAAGCAGAGGGGAGAACGGTGAGATAAGAGGTGGCATAGCCCTCAGCTGCACAATAGGCGGAGGACAAAAGAGACTCAGAAGGGGGACCTCCCCAACTTTTCAGGCTGTAAAAGAGACGGTAGGAGGTTCGTACTTTCGCGCCTTGCAAGATTCTGTTGATGTAGCCAATAAATATTGGCGGATGTAGCCAACAATAAAGCAGTGTTTGTTTCCAGTCTGGTCTACCCAGGGGAGGCTCACAGGACAGCCCCTCCCGCACCCCCCCAGGTAAAAAATACGTACTGGTGGTGAAGCAGTGACGACACGCATAGCCCTTCAGCTCCTGTTCGCTGTCCTCGCTGTCGAAATCATCTTCGCTGGCCGAACTCAAGTCCACTAGGAGGAATTAAGAAGGGGAGAGGGTAATAGATTCAAAGGAGCTTTTGCTCTACTCTGTTGGTTCGTAGGCTTTTATTGGCAATGCGTGTTTGAACCTTGTGTTTTGATATGGCCTATAGAGGCTAATCAAAAAGCTAATCTATCAAGAATCAAAGGGGACAGGGAGAGAGAAAGGAGAGAGAGGGAGAGGGAGGGAAAGAGGGCAAGAAAGAAAGGGAGAGGGGGAGAGAAAGAGGGATGGAGAGGAGAGAAATGGGGGAGAGAGAGAAAGGAGGAGAGAGAGGGAGAGAGAAAGTGGGAGGGAGAGAGGGAGGGAAAGAGAGGGAGAAAGGAGGAGAGGGAGAGAGAGCAAGTGGGAGGGAAAGAACGGGAGCGAGAGAGGGAGAGGAGAGAGAAAGGGAGAGAGAGAGGGAGAGGAGAGAGAAAGGAGGAGAGAGCAAGTGGGAGGGAGAGAAGGGGAGCGAGAGAGGGAGAGAGAAAGGGAGGGAGAGAGAGGGGGAGGAGAGAGAGAAAGGGTGGGAGAAAGGAGGAGAGAGCAAGTGGGAGAGAAAAGGAGAGAGAGAAGGAGGAGAGAAAGAGAGAGGGAGAAAGGAGGAGAGAGCAAGTGGGAGGGAGAGAAAGAGAAGGAGGAGAGAGAGAGAAAGAGGGAGAGAGAAAGGAGGGGAGAGATGGAGAGAAAGGCGGGAGAAAATGGGATGGAGAGAAAGGGAGAGAGGTAGAGGAGAGAGAAAGGGAGAGAGAGGGAGAGGAGAGAGAGGAGAAAGGGAGAGAGAGGGAGAGGAGAGAGAGGAGAAAGGGAGGGAGAGAGAGGGAGAGAGAAAGAAAGATAGACAGAGAGAACAAAAAAGAAAAACTGAGTCAGGGTATTTATCTCCCTTCTCCTTTTTCGGGGGGCAAGGAGAAAAAGCACAGAATGTTTCACAGCCGGGTCCAGCCCGAACTGGAGAAAACCACAATTTTCTGTTTGACCCCCATGCATCTAAAACAGAGATCGACAACACCCCCCCCCACCCCATGTTTTCAGCTTCCTACTTACAGAATTCGCTGGAAGGGGGCCTGGAGGGGGTGTTAACCGGAGTGGAAGCTGTCCGGGTCTTAATTCTTCGAAAGACGGCCTGTCGCCGATGCCTGCGGTGAGCCCGGGAACTGGCAGCTTCTGGGGTTTTCTTCCAATAGTAATAGAAGGTGATCAGCTCTCCCTGGGAAAAGAGAAGGAGCGGAATGGCCAGGTCAGCCGGGGAAGCTAAGGAAAACCCTTGGGAGGAAACAGGAAAAAAACAAACCCCAAAACACAAATTCTGCAAAATCAATTCCTAATGACTTGGAGCAGGGGTGTCAAACTCAAGGCCCGGGTCTGGCCCGCGGGGTGCTTGGATCTGGCCCCCGGCTCTCCCAAGCTCCATTTTTGTTTGGAGAAGGTTGCAGGAGGCCATTGCAGTTGAAAATGGAGCTTGGCAGTGGAGTCGGACAGTGAGCCGGTTGGGGAGGAACATGGGTGAGTCCTGGGGGCTGAGGGAATCTCAGCGTCAGAGGCAGAGAGGGAGTTAGGCAGCAGTGAGGCAGAGGAACAGCCGGAGCCTGTTCCCAGTGTGTGCATGCGCAGAGCTGCCGGAAGACGAGAACAACTAAGAAAGCAGGGTCGACTTGGGAGTAAAGCCACACCTTGGAGGCGATTGGCCCCCACCACCCACGGGAAACAAAAGGGGAACGAATGGGGAGGGGGCTTTTGCAGGAAACAATCCGTTCCTTCGGTCGTTTCAAGAGGGGAAAGTTCTGTTTGTGACTGTAAGAGACTCTTTGCCAAGTTTTGCCTTGCCCTGCGTTTGGGGAAACTAGTTATCTGGCAGCTCTCCAAGTGAGATAAGGTTCGTGTGGATAAACATTCCTATGAAAGACTGTTTGCTAAAGCCTGGCTGACTGTGAATGAAAGGAATTAGCAATAGCAATAGCAGTTAGACTTATATACCGCTTCATAGGGCTTTCAGCCCTCTCTAAGCGGTTTACAGAGTCAGCATATCGCCCCCCACAGTCTGGGTCCTCATTTCACCCACCTCGGAAGGATGGAAGGCTGAATCAACCTTGAGCCGGTGAGATTAGAACCGCTGAACTGCAGATAACAGTCAGCTGAAGTGGCCTGCAGTACTGCACCCTAACCACTGCGCCACCTCGGCTCTTATTCACAGTCGTATGAATAAAAGGGGTTTTGCCGGGACCCAGACTCTGCTTCTCTGCCCCCTCAAGGTCAAACGTAACCCTGATGCAGCCCTCAATGAAATCGAGTTTGACATCTTGGCCTTGGAGGAGAGTCAAGGAGTCTTTTCTCCTTTTCAAAGTTGCATTCCCAGATCCACTGAAAGTCTGCAAAGATTCCCAAGTCCTCCAAGTCATGGTTGTCCCAAAGGTGCTTTTTTTTTAAAGGAGGCCACTGGACTTTCGGGTTTTTTTTCCCTTCCTTTGAAAATGTTTCACTTCTCATCCAAGGAGATTCTTCGGCTCTGACTGGATGGTGGGGAACGGAAGGATTCAAAGGAAAGAAAAGAAAAGAAAAAGTCCAGTGGCTTCCTAAAAAAAAAAACATCCTTTGGCTCGTATCCCATCAATTTGAACTACTGGCATTCCCATCGCGAGAAAAAGGAACCTCCTGTCTCTCAAGTTTAATTCTTTACATGAATTAAAAGAGTTAAAAACACCTAAAATTAAGATAATTAAAAGAGGGGAAGGGGAAAGGGAAGGTGCGGCAGCTGGTCACATGGGATTGGGGGGAAAAAATATCCACTTCTACCATCTCCTACTCAAAGCTCTTCCCACAATACTCGAGCCGGAAGAAGTCAATCTATTTTATTTATTCATTTTTGACATCTTCACGTATGCGGAGAGGTTCGGATAATTAGGGCAATCAAAGGGACCCAACGGGAGAAATCGGCAGTAAGCCCCGCAGCGTAATGAATCTTGGCTCATGTTCAGAATATCGGATTAAACGAGAGCGCAGGTGTAATCTGGAGTTTTAAAACCTGGTGGGTGGATTTCAACTCCTTGTGTGTTTGTGCGTGTTCCTAACTGACTTCTCAGAAGCTGACAAGTCTGAAGGAGCACTACCTCCAATTGGCCACAAGAGGGTGTGTATGTGAGTCTCTCCCCCCCCCTCTGTCTCTCTTTCTCTTTTTCTGTGTGTGTCTTTCTGTCTTTCTCTCTCTGTGCTCTTTCTCTTTCCGTCTTTGTCTGTCTTTCTCTCTGTGTGTGTCTGTCTTTTCTCTCTCTCTTTCTGCCTTTCTCTCTCTCTCTCTGTCTTTCTTTCTCTCTGTCTCTGTCTTTTCTCTCTCTGCCTTTCTCTGTCTTTTCTCTCTCTGCCTTTCTCTCTCTTTCTCTCTGTCTTTTCTCTCTCTCTTTCTGCCTTTCTCTCTTTCTTTCTCTCTGCCTTTCTTTCTCTCTGTCTCTGTCTTTTCTCTCTCTCTTTCTTCTCTGGCTTTCTTTCTGTCTTTCTCTGTCTTTCTCTATGTCTTTCTCTCATTCCCCACCCCCCTCTGAATGATCTAACCATCTCTGCAAACCTCAACCCCCAACTGCCAGCCTAGGTCTCCTCTGGGTAGCTAACATTCATAGATCCACGACATAAACGGATTAGTTAATGTAAGCTCTTACACAGGCACAAATCATGGTTAAGGACAAACAAGTTTCTTAGCACAATTGTGAAAATAGAATAGAATAGAATAACAGAGTTGGAAGGGACCTTGGAGGTCTTCTAGTCCAACCCCTTGCTCGGGCAGGAAACCCTACACCACTTCAGCCAAATGGTTATCCAACATCTTCTTGAAAACTTTGAGTGTTGGAGCATTCACAACTTCTGGAGGCAAGTTGTTCCATGGGTTAATTGTTCTAACAGTCAGGAAATTTCTCCTCAGTTCTAGGTTGCTTCTCTCCTTGATTAGTTTCCACCCATTGCTTTTTATTCTACCCTCAGGTCCATTGGAGAATAGCTTGACTCCCTCTTCTTTGGGGCAGCCCCTGAGATATTGGAACATTGCTATCGTGTCTCCCCTAGTCCTTTTTTTTTCATCAGACTAGAATAGAATAACAGAGTTGGAAGGGACCTTGGAGGTCCTCTAGTCCAACCCCCTGCCTAGGCAGG